TTTTTTTTTTTTTTGTTTTCTCGTGTGCTTTTCAGGTCCGGCGTATTTGGGTTTCTTGTCGGACGCTACTGATTTTCCTCCGGAAGACTACTACGATTACATCATCGTCGGGGGCGGCACCGCCGGCTGCCCACTCGCCGCGACCCTGTCGGAGAAATTTAGGGTTCTTGTTCTAGAAAGAGGGGGGATTCCATACGGCGACCCTAATCTGATGAGCCCCGACGGATTTCTCACAACCCTAATGGAGGTCGACGATTTTGACTCCCCCGCTCAGGCCTTCACCTCCGAGGACGGCGTTCACAACGCCCGGGGCAGGGTCCTCGGCGGCAGCAGCGCCATCAACGCCGGTTTCTACAGCAGGGCCGACCACGATTTCTACCGGCGTTCAGGTATCAATTGGGACCTCAAAATGGTGAATCAGTCTTACAATTGGGTAGAAAACGCGATTGTCTTCAGGCCTGATTTGAAAAATTGGCAATCTGCTGTTCGGAATGCACTCTTGGAGGCTGGGCTTAATCCTTACCACGGCTTCAGTCTGGACCACGTTGTTGGCACCAAAATCGGGGGCTCCACATTCGACAGCTCGAACACGAGGCATAGCTCGGCCGATCTTCTAAACTACGCAAACCCTCTAAACATCAAAGTCGTGTTACACGCCACTGTCGAGAGGATTCTGCTGACATCATCATCTTCTCCGGCTAATTCGGCTAGAAAGCTTTCAGCCAGCGGAGTTATCTTTCGCGATCAGATGGGCCTTTACCACCACGCCATGCTGCGTGACAATGGCGAGGTCCTGTTATGTGCCGGGGCCATCGGGAGCCCGCAGCTGCTGTTACTTAGTGGAATCGGGGCCCGGCCTTATCTCGCCTCGTGGGGAATTCCCATAGCTCACCACTCTCCCTATGTCGGTCGATTCATGTACGATAACCCAAGAAACGGGATCTCGATTCTGCCGAGAGTGCCGTTGGATCATTCCTTAATACAGGTCGTGGGCATCACAAGCTCCGGGTTTTATCTCGAGGCTGCCTCGAATATCGTCCCCTTCACTTCCCCGGCCCGGCCCGTATTTGTCACTGTTGCAACTCTGATGGAGAAAATAGTCGGGCCCCTGTCTTCGGGCTCTCTTAGGCTGGCTTCCACTGATGTGAGAGTGAACCCGATTGTTCGGTTCAACTACTTTAGAAACCCGATCGACCTCGAGCTCTGCGTGAATGGGACTCGGAAAATTGCAGATGTGCTCAGGAGCAGGTCAATGGGAGGCTTCAGGTTCCGCCAATGGTTCTCAAGGGCTAGGGATTTTCGGTATGTGGGGCCCGCGTTGCCTCGCGACGAGACGGACGACGAGCAGATGAGGGAGTTCTGCAGGCGTACTGTGAGCACCATATGGCACTACCATGGGGGCTGCCTCGTGGGGAAGGTTGTCGATCGAGACCTCAAGGTTATAGGGATTGATGCTCTCAGAGTTGTGGACGGCTCGACTTTTACCGTGTCGCCAGGGACTAATCCTCAGGCTACTCTTCTCATGCTGGGGAGGTAAGAATTCTGAGGATAAGGGATTATTATGGAAACAGCTGGGATTAAAGTATTACAGATACTCCATTGATATGTTTGTATCTGTGATGAAAATTATCTGTGAAAGACCGTTGTTTTCCTCTCTTTTTCCCCTGTGAGCTCTATAAGCAGTGGTCTGTTACATGTTGACTGACAGTTTGGTGACACTTTTTCTTGCAGGTTTTTTGGTATGAAATTGCTTAGAGAACGGGCGAGACAGTGAGATGGCTGCTGCAGAGGAAAATGGTGAGCTAAAAATGCTGCAATCCTTTCAAGTGTCTAGTGTAGGATTTTCTGTGATTAGGCTGACTGTAGGGTGCACAGTGTATTCATTCATTTGAGGAAAGGAAGCTTATGAAGTGACTGATTGAAGCCGAGACGTTTGTCGTTTGTTTACGTGTTTTTAGAATAACTATCCATGAATTGTATGTGTTGCTTGGAGTGGGAAAAGAGATGTGTGATTTCTGATACTTGTAAACTGAAACTGAACTCTCATTCATGCAATTTTATTGATGGACATTGGCTTATAAAATGCAAACAAGCATCCTGGGAACCTTTGAAGTGGCTAAATGTGAAACTTCCAAAGTTTTTGTTTCTGTTTCATTTAACATAATGTCTGGTTGCTGTGGTAGGAATATTGGAGATTTTGATAGTTGTGCAAGTAGCATTGTTTTACTTCTTATCATTTTAAGAAGAAAATGAACACTTTTGAGTAATTAACACGAGATGAATATTATGTCAAACTAGCTATTAATTAACAGATTTTGATAGCTCAACATTGTTTTAGCGTTCTTATTATATCTTTGTTTAAACGTTCCTTCACAATCTCACTTAGGTGGAAAAGGGTCTTTAGACAATAGGCCCATACATAAAGATTTTCCCTTGGTCAGGCCAGACAAATTAGTGGCTCTTGGATTTAATTTTAAGAGGAAATTACTTGGCGCACTCTAAAGTTACCAACTTTATTACATTATTACAACTCATATATAATTATTTGTAGAGCAACTAAAGTTATATATTTTATTTGCAAACATGCCCGAAGATTAATGTACAAGTTAATTCCAAGATAAATTTGGTAACAACAGCTTTTGTAAGTTATTATCAATTAAACAAAAACTGAATCCACAAATTAAGGGATAACTCCGAAATGTGATCATCACCTGCCCAAGGGCCTTCCCCCATCTTCTTCATCATATCTGTTCATCAAAATTGGAATTGGATTTTGTTTTCGTCAGTTACGAACAACTTCAATATTTGGGAATTTGATTCCAGAATTTGATATACAAATTCAAAATAATTTGGAATTAACTTTCGTTTTTGTTCGTATGTAACCATCACCCTTCTCTGATTGACCCCGCCGTCTCCGATCTGACGTCCACCATCATGGCGATTGTCGTCAAGCTAGTCGCCGGGCTTGCGCGGCTAAGCGCCGCTGCCACTGGGCAGCCCCGTCGCGCGGCTGTTGATGGCCCTCGTCGCCTGACCCAAGCTCCAAGATGGAGGCCCGCTCTGGGAGTGAACAATCGTTGATCCCCGTGTCATCGGATGCTGGAAATCCGAGCATGGAGCTCGGTCCTCCATTAATGGCGGGCGCATACAAAAAAAAAAAAAAAAGTTGGTAACTGCAACTGGCCGTTTGACCGGACAAGCGAGGTGTGTATATGGAGTATATGTGGTGTGTATATTGAGTATATGTTCAACATATTGGACGATTTTTTGTAAACTATTAAGTATATGTTGTGTGTATATGAAGTATATGTGGTGTGTATATTAAGTATATGTTCAATATATTAGAAGATTTTTTGTAAACTATTAAGTAGAGGTGTGTATATGTAGTATATGTGGTGTGTATACTGAGTATATGTTCAATATATTAGAGTTTTTATAACTATTAAGTATATGTTGTGTGCATATGAGTATATGTTCAATATATGTTCAACATATTAGAAGATTTGTATATATTTATATATACTTTTACGTATATAAGTAAAAAAAAAAGAATACATAATTTTTTGATGGAAGACATATTTTTTTTCATTGCAACATATACTGAATATATAGCAACATAAACGCAAAATATACCACCTGACGACGACTGCGCCCTTACTCAAACCCACAAAAAGGGGGATGGAGATTGAATGAATATAATAACTTACTTTAGGCATTAATGTAGTTATTTATCACATATTAGGTAGAGATGTAATTATTTATTTATAGATTGTATTTTTATAATTTTGCCAAAATCTGGTAGGATAGATTAAAATTTCCCTAATTTTAATTGCTTACCAAAAATGGTAGGTAGTCAGTCAGGTCTCGTTCTTCTGTCCACACGGTTAATGAATATTAATATTCTGTGAGCGTTATTGAAAGGAAATAATGGCCTTGTACATAGAGTACTTGCAATTGTATAGACCAACTTATTACAGTTTTTTTAATTTAGAAAATAATCTCAGCCAATTGTATGATTTATCTTATAATTAAACATATTTTAAAAATAATCAGGTATCTCATATGATTTGGTTCACTTTTCTCTCCGACAAGTGATTTACTTCTATTGTTTGTTTGGGTTTGACTTATTTTTTAGCTCCTCTGCAACCAAATTCTTCGAGACTCGTCCTTGTGTGTCGTCCTCCTCTTAGCACCCTCCTCATCGTTTTCCTTATTGAGTATATTTCAAAAGAGAGAATATGCATGCAGATAATCAGGAAAATGTAAAAGACGTTAAAATACAAAGACAATAATTTAGAAAAGTGGTAGTTAAAGGTTGTGTCTTAAACACAAAGATGACAAGCAAGCTTTAGTAGGGTGCCCATTTTATTAGCAAAACAATGAGTGGTATATATTTTGTAAGCAACACAAATTTGGGAACTGCACAAATAATCAAACATGTAGTTTGATCACACCTTTGGTTGTAATTATTATATATCCTCCCTGAATGTATGAGCCTGAAACAATAACTAAGATTTTATCTCTTTTATTCTGGCATCAGATGTTTCAGCTCAAAGGTGGAGCAAAAAATGATTTTCACTATCACTATATTTTCTTTGTTGTTATATCCCTCTTAAAGTTACCTACCTAACTTTTTGCATCATATACATATCAATATCATTGCCATGTGCAATCTTGTAACCAACTTATTGTCACGTCAGGAACAATTCAGTGTGAAGTATATATTTACCTTTCTCGACTTATACTTGAAGGTATATCTCCAATTGGTGCTCGATTTAGTGAAGTTCTTCCATGGAACACGTCCCTATATTATGCTCGTTGGAGTTCGTTTATGATGATAACGACCTCCACCTCTTTAGTACTATTGGCAATGGGGTACAACAATATAGCAAAAAAGAAAGGAAACTGGAGAAATGTATGATTGGAAAAATATATCAATGACCAAGTCGTTTCTTCATTCATTCATATTATCTTGCATATGGGGTTTGAGGGAGGTCTGTGTTTACAAACCTTGTTTGAAGTTTTAAGCCTCAAAAGTATATTTTCTAATCGTAAACCTGAATGTCTAAATTTGTAAATCCCTACTCAACCTTACAGAGAGATCTATGAAACCAAACCAAATCAAACCAACCTAGCCTTTACGCGAACTTTTTAGACCAAACAAAGTAGAAAAATAATAAGTATCCTTACTCTTTTCTTTCAACCATGTTAGCTAGCATAAGACAAAGCATATTTAGAAGTTCATGTACAATTATGGGCAGGACGCTACAAGGCCACCATATCCGGGAGCTTTGCGTGCAAGAATTTATGGCGAGTGTAGTTAAATTGGATGCCAAATCTATTTCGATCGACTATCGAGACCCATTTTTTTAGAAGTCAACCTGAGTTATTATCATTTTACTTCACTCACGATTAATTCTTATACGTAAAGTTTTTCGCAATGGTAACCTTACATCATCCTTTTTAACAGAAACATTTGGTTTCCTTCATAACACATTTAATGAAACTCAATTTTTGGGGGATTAAAATTCTATGATTTGACTCATATGCAATTTCTGATTGTGTTATTTGGGGGGGAGAAAACAAAGTATGAGTTAACAGTAAATGTAACATTGTTACGTATAGTTTTCACGAACAGTTTAAAACACTAAGTTTTCAACAAAAGTTAATTTCTAGCTTGTTAAACTTGCAATTTTCAACACCCAGCATAGCAGCAACTTCACAATAAATCAAAGAGATGGAATTTCGACATCAAATTAAATGTAATGAGACAACCAGACAAGCAAAAAAATATCAAGATAACTTCACCAAAACAAAGCACAAAAAATACAAAATTTAATGCTCATCACAACAAGAACATGTGCAAAAATAAGTATATGTAACACATCACATGAAAGTAAATCATAGTGTTCTACCAGTTAGGGCTTGACTGTTTATGAAATAATTTACTCACTTTTATTTCAACTCAAAATTTAACTCAACTTAAACTCAACCTCATTATCTTTAATATTATCCATATAATTAAATAATACAAATCAATCATTCTTACACATCACATTAACTTTAATTCACTATTCATTCACTCACATATTTTTTACTACCTATCATTTCCAATCATTTATCTCTTACTTTTACATCAAATCAATTTCAATCATTTTATTTTAAATATTATTTTAATACATTCTTAAAATTCCACTAACAACTAACTATACTACCTTTTTCAAAATTAACTATAGTTAACCAAAATAACTCATTTTGAACAAATTATTCCATAAACAATCAAGCTTAATTTCCCAACAATATTAATTTCTCGATAAGGTACTACAACTAAAACTATCCCCGGCCAGGAGTACACTAAGATAGCAGTAAAAGTGGAGTTCAAGCCAATATATCTATATAATGTGGGAAGTCGTGATAGGGTTAGGCGAGAGTCTTATACTTGTAATTTCTAACCATATATTGTGGGAGTCAACCAGTTTACCAATGAAAGATGTTTGAGGGGTCGTGAGATGTTCCCCAAAGACAAATTTTTTAGTTATCGTTTTTTCTTATATTTGTGTTCTTACACACGTTGCGCACTATACTATCCGACCCATTTTTTTTTTTTCAATGTGACATTTTTCAAGGAATTGCTTTAAATCAGATGCAATAAAAAAAATGAATATAAATTAATGTGATATTATGCCCAATATCAACCTAACTCACTCATAGTATACGCATACATGACCAAAACTCGAGTCGGGCCACGGCCCGGCCCGGACCCGATACGGACCTATACACGTGTCGGGTCAATGACACGATTGATCGGGCCGAGTCCGAGTCCATGTCGGGTCGTGTCTAGGCTGAGTCCGTCATTTTTAGAAAACAATAAAAAAAATTTAAAAAAATAATAGAAAAAGTAGGCCTTTTGCCTAGGCAGGATCATGAAATGAATGACTCTGAAACGACCCGGCGAAAATTCGGTCCGAGACTAGATCTGTGGTCAATGGATTTGACCAAGACGGGTCCTTGTCGGGTTGACGGACCGGGTGGGGCTTCGTCATGTCTAAGTGTAGGAAATATTATCACAAGATTCACAAGCATCTTCAAAACACAAACTCCACTTTTTGTCCTACTTTGTAGGACCATTCATCCTTATTACAAATAATATTATTGCCCTTTTCCTTTCCCGAGAAATGTGATTTACTAATTATTTATACAAATTTGTTTGGTGCAAATTGGAATTTGGACCCATTTGACGTAGATTTATGCAGGCATACATCAAATATATATATAGTGTTTCCAATATATCTGCGCAGAACTCAATTCATATTTGAAACTTTTCAAACACATTTTTCAACTCCAATCACCAAAAAACAGAAAAAACAAATAACACAAAATAAAATAAGAAAAGAAAACGAAACAAGAAAATGGCTGCCGTTTCCATTTCCTCTGCAACTAAGCTCAACAATCAAACGCCACCATCCCACAAGCACACCTCAAATCCTTTCCCCACGCGCCTCCCCTTCTCCAATCCCTCCATCTCCCTTCCCAAGCTGACTGTCCCCTCCCCCAATTTCAGCCTCTCACGCGCCGCCACGGTTCCCAGCGTCCTCAAAACAGAGCAAACTTCAGAATTGACCCCCGACGCCAGGGAAGGTTCAGATCCGGGAACCCAATCGGCGAGGCCGACCGTTTTGGTCTCCGAGAAGCTCGGGGAGGCGGGGCTCGAATTGCTCCGCTCTTTCGGGAACGTCGAGTGCCTGTACGACCTGTCGCCGGAGGACCTGTGCGCGAAGATCGGGGAGTGCGACGCGCTGATTGTGCGGAGCGGGACGAAGGTGACGCGCCGGGTTTTCGAGGCGGCTGGGCGGAAGCTCAAGGTGGTGGGGCGCGCCGGCGTCGGGATTGATAATGTGGATCTGCAGGCGGCCACCGAGTTCGGGTGCTTGGTGGTGAACGCCCCGACAGCGAACACGATTGCCGCCGCCGAGCACGGGATTGCTTTGCTTGCGTCCATGGCGCGAAATGTTGCACAGGCTGATGCGTCCATGAAAGATGGTATGGTTGATTGGTTGTCCTGTTTCGAAGCTTTAGCCGTTTAATTTTTGCTATTTTCGGTAAAGAAATTGAAAAAAAAAATTAAAGAATTTAGAGCTAGTTTTCCTGTGTGCTTTTTTCCTTCTGTAGATCTTCTGTTATGCTCCAGGTAAAACGAATTAGAACATTGTCATGTTCTAGAGGAATGTGGGTTTGATGTATTATTCTGTAATATGTAGCAAATGCACTTGGATTTGTTGTTATCTTTTACCTTTTATTGTTTCGTGCAGGAAAATGGCAACGTAACAAATATGTTGGTGTTTCTCTGGTTGGGAAAACTTTGGCAGTAATGGGATTTGGGAAAGTTGGTTCTGAAGTTGCAAGACGTGCTAAAGGACTTGGAATGACTGTGATTGCCCATGATCCGTATGCTCCGGCTGATCGAGCACGTGCAATTGGTGTGGAATTGGTGTCGTTTGATGAAGCCATTTCGACTGCAGATTTTGTTTCTCTCCATATGCCTCTCACCCCTACAACTAACAAGATATTTAACGATGCTACATTTTCTAAGATGAAAAAGGGAGCGCGTATAATTAATGTTGCGCGTGGTGGTGTTATAGATGAAGATGCTCTAGTGAGGGCCCTCGACAGTGGAATAGTTGCCCAGGTACACTGTTCTTTGTGCATTCTCTTGTAACTGAAGTATTCTGATGAATTTGCGGTTGAAATTCTAAATTGTGGAGTCATCTTCAATGTAATAGTGTTAAATTAGAAATGCTACCATTAGGATTAGCCTAAAATCAGAAACTACAACTCAGTATATGTTTCCTTTCTACAAGGTGTATCCTCAGGAGGGAGATTGTATGTTGGATAAATTCAAGAATCGAGGAATAATTTTTGACATTTCGGAATATAATTGGAGTCTTTTGTAATCAAACTAAAGATTAAGGGTATAACCTGTTACTTTTCTATAATTCAGTATCCTCTGAACATTTATTGTGGCTGCTTTCATTGTCTTCCTCACAATTTAAAGTAAATAAAAAAGAAAAAATCGATTTTTCTTTTGTAATGCATTCCAATCTTGCTATTGCTCGGCAGAATTCAGTAATTTATGCATCCTAATGTTTTGTAGGCAGCCCTAGATGTGTTCACAGAGGAGCCCCCGTCCAAAGATAGCAAATTAGTACAGCATGAGAATGTCACAGTCACACCTCATCTTGGAGCTAGCACCAAGGAAGCCCAGGTGTGAAATTTGCTTATACAGACAGTGACATTCTTTGATTTAATGAACTCAGACTTTGTTTACTTATTCTTTCCTTTTCTTTTTTTCTTTTTGTTCGACATTTCAGGAAGGAGTTGCAGTTGAAATAGCCGAGGCTGTTGTTGGTGCACTGAGAGGGGAACTTTCAGCCACTGCAGTCAATGCCCCCATGGTCCCGCCCGAGGTAAACGCTGTTAATTCACTTGTACTTGCACTTGCATGCTCTCTCTCTCTCTCTCTCTCTCTCTCTCTCTCTCTCTCTCTCTCTCACTCATAACTAACTATATATGAGTTTCTTTTTACCAGGTTTTATCCGAATTGGCTCCATATGTCACTCTGGCAGAGAAGCTTGGCCGACTGGCCGTGCAATTGGTGGCCGTTGGAGGCGGTGGGATCCAATCTGTGAAGGTGACTTACAAGTCGGGCAGGGACCCGGACAACCTGGACACGAGACTCCTGAGGGCCATGATAACTAAAGGCATAATCGAGCCGATATCTGATGCCCACATCAACCTCGTCAATGCAGACTTCACGGCCAAGCAGAAAGGCCTCCGCATTAGCGAGGAAAGGGTCTTCACAAATTCTTCTCCCGAGAATCCTGTCGAGTCCATTCAGGTCCAGATAAGCAACGTGAAGTCGAAATTCGCGAGCGCAGTTATAGGAAACGGGAACATTAGCATCGAGGGGAAAGTGAAGTACGGGACGCCCCACCTGACCCAGGTCGGGTCTTTCAGTGTGGACGTGAGCTTGGAGGGGAATCTGATACTTTGCCATCAGGTAGATCAGCCCGGGATGATTGGGCAGGTCGGGCAGATTCTCGGGGAACGTAATGTGAATGTGAGCTTTATGAGTGTGGGGAGGACTGTGAAGAGGACTCGGGCGATTATGGCAATTGGGGTCGATGAAGAGCCGGATAAGGATACCCTGAAGAATATCGGGGATGTACCCGCAATTGAAGAGTTTGTTTTTCTTGATCTTTGAAGCTGAAGCTCGATTTCGTTGCTTTTTTTTTTCCTTTTAGGGTGAAGACCGTGACCGATGCAGAATGAGAAGAAAAGCATCATGGTTTAAAATATATCTTATTTTCTGGTAATATTATTTTTAAGTTGTCCTGTTGTATGAGAAAACAGGGTTCCCGCACTTTCACCATCATTATTATGTATTTATGTGGGGAACAATTTTTTTTCTGTGAATCAGTTAGACATCATTTTGGTTGTTAGTTTAAATAGAGGAAGATGAACAAAGGTTATTGCTTCTGGTGGCTTGAGAGGTGTTATGTTATATTGTGTTGTGGATATAATATTGAATTACATTCTTTCAGTCAATGTTTTAAATACCGTACCTTACCGGCTGGTAATACCGGATACCGGCCATTGGTACGGTACAATTACACTCAAAATATCGGATTTATGGTTATACCGGTTTGTATGGAATCATACCGTATAAATCACAAAATACCGGTCCCAAATATCAGTCAATAAAAAAAATAATATTTTTTTTTAATTTTAAATATAAAATTTAAATTGGTAGTTAAAATTTTTATTTTTAATCTCATTGAAAAGTTGAAATTTATGACTATGGTTATTTATTTTTTTACTTTTTTTTTTTATCTTTGGTATTATATATTTTTATGTATATTGTTAAATATCATTATATTTGCTAATCCGGTAATACCATCGATATTACCGGTCCTACCGGTGATACCGTGTACCGGTGGCTTGACCGATATGACCACCGGTACGGTATTTAAAACACTGCTTTCAGATGAAACTATGTACCTATGTTTTTGGTATGATTGGTGAACAATTGGCATATGGAGTTTAATATTATGGTGAGTAACTATTTTGCTCAAGGTCTCTTCTCCAGTTTCATGTATTTTAGTTTGTTTTCGACTTTGCACATTTTTATCCACACATAACTGGTAGATGAGACAGCATATGATTCTTGTGGACCAAAATAAACACACGCAGATTTACTTGCTAGTGTTGATACTCGTGCGATGCACGGGTGAAAAAAAAAAGTTTATTTAAATATTATAAAATTATTTAAGACAATATGAAGTTATATTATCCACAATATTCTATTGAGTAATAATATGACATTTATTTATTTATTATTATTGTTAATTTCTATTTTTATATATTTTTTTTGTACTTTTTGACTATTTAATATATAAATTTTATTATTTATAAGCTTATAAAATATTATAAATTTATAAGAGCATATGATATTTTCATACAAATTATTTTATATGTACTTATAGAAAATTATCGTTTATCATAATCTTAAAATTTTTTCAACAATTCATAAACAATTCATAATTTGCACATTGTTTTATAATTCACTAACGCTCAACCCATAATATTTAGTGCATTAAATGTTTAAAAAACTTGGATAAATAAATTTAATTTTTAGTATCTTTAACCTTATGCAACATACAAATTTTTTATGGTTAGATATTTTATTTTTATGTTTTCATTTTTTATTTATATTTATTTTTTTTAATTTAGTGTTTCAACCGATATAATGAGTTATGATGGGTCTCCTCCTAGATCCGGAGTGAACCGGTGAGAATGAGCTCCGGTCTGCTCGAATCGCCTCCAAGTCGCTCGTAGACCACAGCGAACACCTGCAAGAACTCAACACCGGAAATGCTTTCCGGTGAAGAGCCTCCGACGCTCAAGTCAGTAAGTGAAGGGAGAGAGAGAGAGCCCTGCTCAGGGGGAGCAGCAGCTGAGTACTGAATGAGAATAATAGATAGGGTTTTAGGTTTACCTCAGCCCCTTTATATAGGGGTAAAAACACTTACTTTGAAGTCCCAAAATGCCCCGGCCGACTTACGTGAAGTACCCAAAATGCCCTGGTCGGTCCACATTCTGCTTACTCCTGAGTCAGCATCTAGATTCCTTCTTATCCTGTTATAAGCTTGTGCCTAGGAGCCTTCCATGTGTCGCATCTGCTCATCGAGTTGCTGTAGATCCTTACAAGTCGATTTGTAGTCTTGTCGAGTCGATTTGTAGTTACACAACTATGTGAGGTTTATGAGAACGCTTGCTCGTCATCATGAATGCGGTCGACTTTATGAGGTCGACTAAGTACCATGATCGGTTGGACGATTTCCGGGTATCTGATGGGCCGAGTCGACATCACCTGTCTCGTCCTAGTGGGATCGTCTACAGTCTTTAGTCGAGCACCCTCTAACCGAATCGGACCGCGACAATAGGGTTATATCAAGTTATATAGTATCTATTCGAATATTTGGATATATTACATATTTCCATAATTACCAAGTGATATAATTTCAATTATTATACATTGATTTTTTATTAACTTATTTTTCATTTATAAAATAGTATAAGAAAAAAATATATATTTATAAAATTTGAATAGTTTTTTAATGTACATAGATACTATTAAGGTGAAATTTATAATTATGAGTTGCACCCGACCATCAAATTTTATTTTTATTAGTATATTATTTAAATTTTCAATAGTATTATCACTGCTTGATTTATTAAATAGGGATGTACCTTTTCATAGTTAAATTGACAACACTTTAGAAACTTTTATTAATACTTTAAACTATTTATGAAGTTATTATGATTTAAACATAGGCATTCTTATTATTTTATTAACTATTTAAGTACTTCTGAGTAGTGAATATAATTAATTAGATTAATACCTACAACCATAGATGATAATATATTTAATCAAATAAATTTCCATAATAAGTTTTTGAATTGTGTCAATAAATTGACAACACTTTAGAATAGTGAATATAATTAATTAGATTAATACCTACAACCATAGATGATAAAATATTTATCAAATAAATTTTCATAATAAGTTTTTGAATTGTGTCAATAAATTATAATTAAATTAATATAGATCTTATTGGAAATATGTCTAACAATTCTACGGTCACAAATACAATTTAAGCCAATTTGTAGTTAATGAGTAATAGTCATTGAGTGTATAAAAATTAATTATGTTTTTTAAGCATATGATTTGCTAATAAATAAATATTAATTAATTAAATATCAAATATAGACGAAAAAAATTTCCCGGCCAAAATCATATCAATTATAGCAATAATGATTGGTCCATTATATAGATATAGATTGAATTAGATTCCCCTGTATATAATTTTAGAATGCACTGACCCTAAGTGGCAGACTTGCGTGCTTCGGAATCTTACTTGGCGAAAAATCATGCGTTGTTATTTGGTTTGATAAAAAATAATGTTATTCCAAATCAATAATTTAAGGTTCTAACATTCCATAAAAAAACTAACTTGGGTAATTTTATAATGTTTTGACTTATATAACCCTTAATTTATTTTGTAAACTTATTTATTGTTGTTTATATGACTAACATAGCCCTAAAATTTTTTTTTTTGGAATCTCTCACTTCTCCAAATTGAATGTTACTATCAAAATGGAATCTCACTTTTCTGGATTTAAAATTATTTATTTATTCTTATTTTTTCATATATTCTATGAAATCAGGTAACTCTTCATCGGGATTTTTTGACATTCATATCTATATAAAAAAATAAATACATCTTTCTGTATTGTAAAAATTAAATTACTTATCAATTTTAATTGAAGAATATAATTTTTTTTATAAACTAAATAATTTGTCTATTGACACCATTCTATAATAACGATTTATTAATTAATTATTTTTATATTTAAAGTTAATAATTTTTTATTGACAATTTTTTATGTATAATATATCAAATTAATCATGTCTTGATGAACTTTGGTTCGACATCTATATTATACATACAAAATAATTCAATATTTTTATTTATATTTATATTTATAATTAAAATTAAAATTAATTTACCTATTAATATTAATTCAAAAAAAATATAATTATTTAAACACACTTAACTACAAAGTAATTATATGATATAAATTAGAAAAATATATAATATAAGATGATAAGTCGTGTAAGTGACAGTGTCAATATAAATATAAAATAATAATATATTTTTCAAAGAATAATTTTAAAAACTAAAATAATTTTTGTTGTTATTCTTATTTAATTTTAAATATAATTTTTTACAAGTACACGTGTAATACACGGGTAATGTATTAGTAAATATATAAAACGAATAAGAAGCCAAGTGAGACATAAAACTGCGTTCTTTCATAAAAACATGCATAATTGCTTGAAGATGCAGTCTATGGTAGATTTCCTAGTATGGCTAACTTGATAATTTACAATGACAAATGTAATATTTTTTGAAAAAGATAAGCCGTGGCATCACCACCAATTATCAAAGATATTAAACACGCCCGAGAATCAACTCGGACAGGTCTCTAGGTCATTAGGTCACTGATTCAACCGTCGGGTCACTGGATCAATTGTTGAAATGGATAATTAATTTTAAATATTTTAAATTATATATGTAGTATTTTTGTTATATAAATATACATAAAACTATAAAAGTAACAAAATTAAATGTTTGCATATAAAATTTGTACATTAAAGTGTTAACAATATTGTATCTCATAATAAATTTTTTTCATATAAATATATTTACATAGTTTTTATTTTTGACATAAAAAAATATTTAAAAAAAAATAATAATTATAGGGACCTGGTCAACTCGGTTGACGCAGTCGGGTCAATGCCTTGGGTCAAGGCCGAGTTGACCAGATTTTGATCGAGTCCATTGTTACTCGGTCCAAATAGCCCACTCGAACCGATTCCGACTCCGGATCAACCCGCCAGGCCGGTTTGAGTTGAAGAACTATGTCAAACATTAGAGATCATATTTACTTCAAATCAAAATCCATACAAGAACTACACTCTCAATGCTACAACAAAACACTAAGATACTTTTTTTTTTTCAAGGCCATAACAAATTCCAATTTCTGTTCAAGATAGAAGAAGACAAAGAGAAGATTCTCAGAGGAAAAAACTGGTCATTTGATGGCCAGTACCTACTCCTCAAAAGCTGGAGACCA